AGAGAAACCTGTCTCAAAAAAAAAAAGAAAGAAAGAAAGAAAGAAAGAAAGAAAGAAAGAAAGAAAGAAAGAAAGAAAGAAAGAAAGAAAGAATATAAGGTAAGATCTGTTCTTTAATTTTTATCAGAAGGATGGGAAATCATATGTTTTCTTCAGCAGTCTTTGTGTTTAATCATCTCAGAGAGATAGATATAATGGCCTTTGTATAAAACAAACAAATAAAAACTATGTTTTAGACTAAGAAAATGAAAAAGTAAAAGTTGGGTATGTTTATGTTAAGTAGACTTTAACAATGTAATGCATCGCAAAACTGCTATTGTTACTAAGTTTTCAGATGAGGTCAACATGGTTTTCTTTTACATCAAAAGAACACTTCCTCCAAAGTGGCAGGAAGAAGAAATGGCCACAGACACTAATTTCTTTCTGCATCGCTACGATCTTTATATTGCTGTGTATTTATAGAAATAGGGTCTTGTTGTTGATTAGGGGTTTTGCCCTATTGAAATATGTCTTCAGGACATGTATAGTTTTTAAATGACTAACATGTTTCTAGTCCAAGAGGAAATACAAAACCAGACTGGGTGAAACATCATCTTCCAAACAAATTTTAACTTTGTGTTTAATTTGTTCAAGCATTTTTTTTAACAGAGAATTTGTCTTCAGGCAAAACTCTTAAAAGTTAGTTTTGAGCCAACATATGTTAGAATGGTTGCTTGAAATCACTAAATATTTTAGCAGTATTAACTTAAATTCATTTGTACAATATTTCATATGCAAAACTTCAGTCAGGTCTAGTATAGGAAAAGTTTTCGAAGGTATAAATCTGTCCATTCTGAATTAAATGAGCAGAGTGATATAAAACAACTGCCTGCCTTCCACTTTAGTAAGTTATTGTTTCTATGTGTTATCAATCCATTTCCTTGACTATGTTAATGGACATCTTAAGTCTTGTCTAAGTCCGCAGGTCTCTGAAGGAAGTCTAAACAATTCTTAGTGATTTGGAGTAAAAGGCCTATTAACAAGTTCAATGGGCATTTCCTTTCCTAGAGGTGGTATATTTTGCCTACTTAGTCCAGAATGACAACTTCTTGGGGCACCCATTTATCAAACACTGAACCACCACTCCCTCTGAGCTCAGAGAGGATGATATTAGCCAGGACTTCCCAAGTATTTACTCTGCTTAGAATACTGTGACTACTTGTCTTACCATGAGCCCTGGAGAGGATGATGGCAAAATCAACCAAGGACAAGGATTTAAGAGCAGGTTGTCCAGCTAGCAAGTGTCCCAGTGGAGAGTCTAAGTTAGGTTTGTGTAGCATTAAATTTTGACATACTAATTTCTGTGTATTTCTGCACATCCTTAGAGGGCATTAAATAGCTAGTGATGGTGGCTATGGCCAACTATAGACTATGAAAGCAAGTTGTGTGTTCTTACCTTCTATGCTTTCTTTGACTGGAATGAGAAAGTGTGTGTGTTTGTGTGTGTGTGTGTGTGTGTGTGTGTGTGTGTGTATGTGTGTTCACTTGTCTGTGTGTGTGTACACACACATTTGTACATGTGTATGTTGTATGGGCATGTATATTGTGCCTTGTCGAGTGTGTAGAAATCAGGGCACAACTTGTGGAAGTCAGTTCTCTCCTTCCACAATGTAAGTCCAAGGATCTAACTCAGATCACGAGGTTTAGTGGTAAGTATCTTTACAGACTGAGCCATTGTTGGCTCCAGATGAAATGAATTTTAAGTAAAATTTACTCCAAGAATTTTCCTTATTCATGCCCCTTTATTTGTAACTTATGGAACATGATATTTTTGTTTTTAACAGTACACAGGAATTGTTAATTTTATTTGCAATTAGTGACTTCAGATTTCTCCATTGCATTCTTTCCTTTCTCAGTCATGAGGCAGTGGATGCTCTTTTTCCCCAACTCTCTAAATGTTTCCCTTTGGGACACAATCTTTTTTGCTTTTGCATTTTCATAAATTCAATATTCAGAGCAAGAAACACATAGATGTCAAGTGGAAAGAAATCATTCAAACCTCACATATCCACATGTATTCTTTCTGCACTCTCAGAACCTCCCAATTAGTCCTTGTCTTGATTCTCTGGCAAGTCTCAGGAACTCTCACAATCCTCAAATTATCATCTTCCAATATTCTTCCCCTAGGAATTTCCCAGAAACTTCCTGGCTTCATGCAATCCTAGGACACAAGTAAGAACCCTATTTTCTGGCATAATATTAAACTGCTCTTCCAGATGGGTTATTTTGGAATATCTTACAAGTTACAAGACCTAATATGCATGGCTATGTCCTCCCAAGTTTTTCTAATCACTGGGCTGAGGAGAATCATTTTAGTATTCATTACACCTAAGGCCAGTCTTTGCTCTCATTTGGGATCATAATTGATGGTGTTTGTTTTTCACATGTTAGATCCTTTGTATCATGGCCCCCATGTTTTTTGAGAAGTTCCATGGCTATAGGCCTTCATTTACCATAAAAGTAAGACAAAATTGCTAATTGAAGGGGCCCTAGAATACAGCCAATCCATTGGAATGAAAATGCTGGCCTTGGCTCTCTTGAAACGTGTCTGTACTGGACCCATGAATATGGTAGAGGGCAAACAAATTGCTCAGCATTTGTCAGGACAAGGTAAATATGGAGGAAAGGCAATAGCAAACCCTTTCAAGGCAAACTGAAATGAGCAAATTCACAAAGCTCTGGGCAGTGAGCAAAAAACAACAGGCTAGTTACCTTTGATAATTAATTGAAAATACCGTTTCATTTCATTTGATGTGATACTGTGAACCTGTGAATCACACAACCCCAAAGACATAGAATTTTACAACAAGTTGGGACACTTTAGTCACAATGCCATCTCTGGAAAAGGTCAGAGGAGTAGAAAGTATGATCTTTATAATTTTTGTGTACCTAAAAGGCCAATTATCTATTAAACAACTGTAAAGAGTGATCATTTCAAGGAAACACTAAAAGAGTCTTTAAAAATAGTCAGCAGATTCCAGTGATTTACGTCATAAAGCAACAGACTATCTTAAGTAACACATGGACAATAAAAGCAAGCAGATGTTTGTGCTCTACCCAGGGCACTAATGGAAGTGCTATGGCACTGTGTCAAAGTGAAGTTTGCCATCATCTGAATTACCCACTAGAGCTTTAAATAGAGCTGCACAACTGAGCCAGCAACTGGGAAGCTTTCCCCAACCACTCTGAGCATTACTCCTTGCTGCAGGTAAGAATCAATAATTCACTGTTAACATGCTATGTCAAAACATTTTTCTGAAACAGGACCTGAGATGTGTGATAATATGCAAACGTCCGAAAAGAAACAGTTACTCAGGATACTGAGTTATAAACATAAGTTATTGTTAGCAAAATCACAGTGAGTTGGATTTGGGATTTCATGCACAAGCTGCTTGGAAGTTACCAAGTGAAGATCCGGTACTTTGGTGATACTTAACAATAGAAATATATTCACAGATGTCAGCCTTTACTTCCCTCTCCCCTGTAGAAGTGGAAAGCATTTTATAAATATTAAGCCAGGTGCTGCTAGTTTAATGAATGACTCTGAGGAGTATGGGAAGCATGTGGAGGATTAGCTCTTAAGGCCACCAGGCTATTGTTTACTGACCCAGAATAGACATTTACTAACTCTGGAGAGGCCAGACTCCTCTGTGGCACCTCCCATCTAAGAAGTCCTGGATTTCTGCCACTCATACCTTTTTGAGGAAAGGGACTTTTTTTTTTTCAAAGCAAATTGCATTTGTACTCACAAGGCAGAGGATTAAACAAGTTCTATCATCTTCAAAGATATATCCCATGGAGGCATGGTTACTAAGTTATTCTCAGGGACCTACAATTGGTCAGGCACTTTTGAGTGTGAGCTAACAGTACACTCTTCTCCTCAATTATCTTTCTTCTAATTTCCCAGCTTCCCTTGGATGATTTTTTTTGGTTGTTGTTAATTTTACCTTTTGATTTCTTCCTTCATTTACCTCTTTTGCTCATTCCTTAAAATTTAAAAGAATTTTCCCTGAAGTATCTTTCACAACTTTTCTTTTTACTCTTCATTTTCTGCCTCTTGTATTTTCTGTTTTCTAACAACATATGCCTTGCCAATTTTCTTGATCCTTTCATCATGCACCTTGTTGTTTGGGATTTTGTTTCTGTGTGGGAGCAGGTGGGCAAGGGAGAGTAGATTTTGTTCCTTTAGCACCTCCCTTCTTATATTTCCTGTTTATCCCCCTGCCCCAGGGGCCTCTTTGATCATCCAATTATATCTGTCATTATATACGGTCATAAAAATATGATTTTCTTTTCCTGTTATATTATTTGTCTGACATTAAAAATAATTAACAATGGTTGAAACTTTACTCTCAAAGAAAATTTTAAATAGGTATGTATATATATGTATATATTCACATATAACACATGTATATAAATGTATGTGTAATGTACACAGAAATACATGTAGTGTTGCCTTAGCACAGATTAGGACTCTAATAGATAAAATAAGAATTGGCTATCCTATCACCAGTGGGAATAATATATTAGAACTACAAAAAAACTTGGAAGCATTATTAAAATTTATTTTTAATAAAACTAAATATATTTTATAACAATATGCATATTTCATTGAACTAACTAATATTATATATAGAAGTCTGAAGTTAACTTTTACATTTCTGATCAATAGCAACAAATTGCATATAACACACACACACACACACACACACACACACACACACACACACGTATTTTCCTCAAAAGAGAAGGTAAGTCATCTATGATTGTGCAACATAAAACTCATATATTGACATAGACTACCAAAATGCAACCTTGAGTGAGTGGAGAAAATGTAAATCAAATAGACAAGTATATAAAATAGGCTATTTAAGAGATAACTTGGGACATATTTTATTAGCTAATTTATGACCTATAGTCTGTTGGCAGAGGCCTTCTTCCTCCCTACTTTTACTCTTTCTAAGGAGAATAAACAGACCAGAAGGCTTGATGGTGTGCAAAGCTCACACCTTTATCTCTGCAAGAGCTTGACTCAGGAGTCTGGAAATAAAAGTTCTCACCATTTTTCATTGATCGTAGTGTTTGATGTGACCTTCACCCTGGATCATTCTGGGGCTTCCTTCATTATCTTCAGTCTACTAGGAAATGATTTATGGGCAGGTACCTGAATTCCTGGACAAAATGAACTCATTCTCTGATTTAACAGTCAAGCTCTGGCTTGCTATTTTTTTGCAGTGTGATTCCTAAAACATCGAGGCTTGGAGTAATTGCCATTGCACATGTTGACTGCAAGTTTCTATGGACTGAGTATTTCTGCTTTAATGTCAGCAAAGCCAAAGCCAAGTGGATCTTTAAATGTGAAAGTAAGTGGTAGTCCCTCTGGGAAATACAATCCAGATTTGAAATGAATCTTTTACAACACCCTTATACCTTGAAATGCATTTACACCAAAATGGGTCTCTCTAAAGGAGAAATTACTGAGGGCTAGGAAATGGATGGAGCAGGAAGAGACAGACTTTCCAAACATGCCTGAGATTTCTATTATAGATACCAGCTTCCGGTCTACTTACTTACTAACCTACCTCTCACCCAGATCCTAGCTAGAATGTATACGGTCAGATATCAAATATCTGAGTCAAGAACCAAGCACCATCCAGCTACCTGAGAGTTCATAGAGCTCACAATATTCCACCCAAATATTTTACAAATAAAATGACAGAATGGAAAGCCTCCTACTCTGCACCACACATTTCGATATGAAAATAAGCATTTGTTGTATATAAAAATAACTGAATAGGATCCTGATGAGAAATTCAGACATTTTAATAACCCAGTGAATCGTAAATGTGGCTTGTATCTGCATTTATATATGAGTGTACCCCAAATTGTAAGCATTCAGTCAGCTCTAACAATAAAAAAAGGACTTAAATAACATATGCCAAGAACAAAGGGAAATAAACAGTGGGAGAATATTGGTAGTGACTTGTATCCTACAATGCCAGAACACCTGCAGAGAAAGAGAAAAAGAAGCTAATATTGGAATCTATACAGCTTAACCATTTCCTCCCCATCACCTGCCCATTCTCTAGGTTTTCTATCCCTCGGGCTGTAGCTTTCATCACCTGAAGACTCCATTTAATAAAAGAATATTTGGAACCTAGAGAGGAATTTCCCAAGAACAGACAGTGGAATTACACATGTCATATAAAAATTCTTTTGAGAAAAAAATGCTAGAAAGACAGAATGGCAAAATCTTCACTCAAACCCTAAAGAAAGCAGGAAGTTTATCATGGGCCTATCAGTTAGTGTAAACACTTGGATTATACATTCCTAAATCTTATAGTCCTCTTGGAAGTGATAAGGGATCTTAGCTGGAAAAGGTACAGATTTTTCTTTTTTTTTTTTTTTTTGGTTTTTTTTTCAAGACAGGATTTCTCTGTGTAGCTTTGCGCCTTTCCTGGAACTCACTTGGTAGCCCAGGCTGGCCTCGAACTCACAGAGATCCGCCTCCCGAGTGCTGGGATCAAAGGCGTGCGCCACCACCCGGCCAGATTTTTCTTATATGGGATACCTTAATCCAAGATAAGGAAAAGCTGGAGTGAAAAGGAAGTTCGCCAAACAATTGAAGATAACAGATTACCTGGATATTATCAACAAGGAGAAATCTTCACTTAGAAAAAGGCACAGTGTTGAGTTCTCTGCTGCCACACCATACCACACCACACCACACCACACCACACCACACCACACCACACCACAATACAACGCAACACAACACAACACCCTTATTCTACCCCCAGGAAGCAACTAATTTCCTTCCAACTTGCAGCAGGAGTGAATTTGTTGGATTATAACTAACACCTGAATAAGACTTACAGCGAAGTGATTACTACACATCTTTTTGAATTGTACCAGCAACACCTAATGCAGATATTTATGGCATAGTTTTAAAACATGGTATCTGAGATATTACACAGCTAGTGAATGGAGCCATGGTGTTCAGCTTCAAAATTTATGCCTTTTCTACTTCACCAGACTACAAATAATTTATCTGCCTCCTCAAGACCAGGTTATCTTGCCTTACTCCCAACCTCAGTGATACTACACTATTTGTATAGTTGTGTGAACTAAATTTGTCCTGAAATGTTTCTTTGGCATACCTTTGTCAGTCACCACTTTTGTGTTCCATTTTTATTCACCTCTGATGATTTCACTACTGAAATATCATGAAAATTTATCTGCTTCTCTTCACTTCTCTCTCCATGGCACAAGAATATGTAGATATCTTCTTTCTGAGGCAGCTTTATTTGGTACCCACATGGTTGATACCAAATCTCTATGATATTCCTTATATCTGTTTTCCATGTTGCTGCCAACGTGGATTTTCCCAAAGACAAATGTCATCCTTTATTGACAGTTCTATAATAGAATCTGGTCACTTCCTCTTCCTCTAGACACAATGACATTGTCCTTTCCTTCTTATTCTCTACTTATGAATCCCTTTCTTATGGATGGATGAGTTTCCTAACTTCCCGGCTGATTAGCTAAACCTTCCTACTGTGATATTATGGCACATGTGGCTCCAGATTAAAGCTTTTATTTCTTTCATAACACCTTTACTATTGGTTATGTGATAATTAATCTGTGGTAATCTCTAGTGATGGCATATTATCTACAGAAATGCAGGCTCCACTTAGATCTTAGTTTGTAAGGTAATAAATATTGTTAAATGGACATTGAGTATTCCCTTTGCACTTGAAATTTCAAACAACTCAAGAGATTTATCTCACTTATAATTTTCATTTTATGTATGCAGATGAGGCAGATACAATTTTAAATATTCAGTCAAAATAACCTAAAAAGTGCTTTCAATAAATACAGATTAAAGTAGTGCTGTCTAGAAAACATTATAACACAGATTCAATTTTTTTTTCTTTCTAACGGGTATGTAATTATAAGAGATGGTGTCTGAGATTTAGTGAAAATATTTCTAACATAAGAGGCATTTGATCTACATTTGATGAAGCTGTACCACTTCTTCATCACTCAAGTATCATATGGTTCCCACTTCCCTAATAAGGAGTGGACTCTTGCTAGGACTTGTCAGCCCTTGGGACATACCCCTCTGTCTTGGGAGCCACATCAGATTAAATGTTTCATTCTGTTAGGATGGAGTGTGGTACATGAGGACTAAGGGTGACCTTAGAGGCATGATATCATGAGAAATGACAGCCTTAGAGACACCTGAAAAACCATTCCTGAAACCAGAGAGGCATTCTATTTTTTTTAAAGAAAAATTGTTTTTTTTTCCTAATGAATTTTCTAACCTAGTCCTTCCTGTTATTGCTGTTGGAAGGTTTTCAAGCTATTAAATTAATAAACATGAAGTAAGCATTTTTCTTTGCTTATAAAATATGTGACTTTGGGGGAAACCCTTCAAAGGTAGAAATCCATATTCAGATAACATAGACGACTACCGAAGTCTTTAGAAAAAGAATCTTAAATCTAAAACCTTACAGGATGTGATGGCTAGTCATAGTTATCAACTTGACTACTTATGGAATTAATTAAAACCCAAGCAGTTTGGCATACCTGTAAGGGAATTTATCTTAATTAAATAAATTCAAGTCAAAAGATCCACTTATAATCTGGATCTTTGAGGTGGGAAGATGCACCTTTAATACTGATCTTTTGAGGTAAAGATCTTTTGACCAGCTGGGACACCAGCCTTGTGGACCGAGCAACTACTGTATTCTTGAACTTTCCATTGGTAGATAGCCATTGATGGACTAGCTGGATCATAGCCTGTAAGCTACACTAATAAATTCTCTCTCTCTCCCTCTCCCCCCTCTCTCTCTCTCTCTCTCTCTCTCTCTC